GAGCTGTAGTCCTGCCCTCGGCGCCTCCCGTTCGCGCGGTGGCTGCGGGGAAGGAGGCAAGCCTACAGGCCATGCCTTATTTTTTGCATAACGGTCACCTACTTCCGACTCCAGTCGGGCGAGGGGCGGCGTGTTTCCTCCTCCTGCGCCGGGGCTGTGGCAAGGCGAGAGCATCCTTCCCCCCGGTCCGAGGCGAGGGGCGCTGCTGCGGCCGGAGCCGGTGAGGGGGAGCTTGGGGTGGGTGGAGGGATGGGAGAAGCTTGGCATAGAAGGTGGAAAAGTTGATGCCACCCGCTCTGGCAGAAGGAGGCCAGCTGAGAGCCAAATAACTTCTAACGGCCTGCTGGCAGAAGGGGGCAGGGGTTGGGCCAGCCAGCTTGCTCCCTTTCCCGAAGGGACTTTGCCTGCATGATCTCTGGGAGCAACAAGCTGAGCCAGACACCCCTGGTGCGAGGCTGGACTGAGCTCTGGAGGCAAGCTGTTCTCCCATTTCCAAAAGCACAGCTCCTCTTGCACGGCGGAGAGGGGCCACGCTTAGGCCAAGCACCTTAGGGACTTTTCTCCAACAGATGCGCCACTGTGGAGAAAAGCAGCCCTTCTGCTCATGTCCATCAGAGCACTGCTGTGGAGGGCCTGCCTGCCTCCAACACGCCAAGGGTGTGGTCCTCAACCAGTGCCAGCATTTGCACTGATAGAGGAAATGGCTGAGCTCAAGGAAGGAAATTTATTTGCTCTCCGCTTACTGTACAGCTTTTACTGTTCTCCGTCTCGGGTATCTCTACTTTTTTCAGCTTGCCTGAATAAGCAGTAATTCTTCCTTCTCTAATTCAGCAGGTGCTTCGCAGTGAAGACAAGATAATTCAAAGAGACCAGAGATGCCTTGGCCGAGCAGAAAGAGAGACAAAGGAGTAGTAGCAGGTCTGTGCTGGCATCCTAACTAATTTAGCATCTCTCACTTGAGGTTCCAAGCTATAGTGAAACTACAGACAGTCATCTTAACCATCTGTCTTTCAAAGCCACACGTCTTATAGACAGCATTTCCTCTGTAAAAATGGGCTGAGCATCCATGTGTGACTGAGACAAGTCTGCTAGATATACAATAGGGACAATGATGTATTCTCAGCACAAGGTGGTTAAGAAATGTAACTCATGCCCATTTATGAAGAGTTTTCAGATCCTAAGCGTTAGAGATGGTCAGTCAAAGTATATCCAGTGCAGTGGCAGGAAGCTGATGTGGTACCATCTGCAAAAAAAAAAAAAAAAAAGCAAAAACCTTGCACTTGAGGCAACATTATGTGGTGTTTCAGGTGTAAGATGAAAAAATTGCAGTTGGCTCATCTGTGCTACTCATCTGCTTAATCAACTCCAGCAAATAACCATCTTCTTACCCTTTAATCACTTATTGTTTTTTTCTGTCTGGGTCCTGGACAAACAGGGATATAGACCCCCTCTGAACAGGTAGCACAGTGGAGGCTTAATCTAAGGTTTCCAGCTACTGCAGTAGCTGGAAATAGCTTGCTTTGCTGCTGAATTTTCCTGTTATTCACCAGACTCACCTAAATCAACTTTGTTGCCTGCAATTGATTTCTCAGCGATTAATTAAAAAAAATAATTCAACTACACTTCCTGTAAGCAACATCGTCTATCCCATTTTTTTTATGATTAACTATGACTGTTAAACTATGTTTGTGCACACCATGCAAAAAAAAAAAATCCTTATGTCAGATGCAAACTAGAAATACTCAGAAACACTGGTGCGTAATGCTACTACCTTCCACATAGCATCTCAGGTGCACCAAACTTCTGCTGCAGTCAAATACCAGTATGTGAAACTACCTTGGATGACTAAAAACATTTCAATACCGGTCCTTATCAGAAACAAAATGTGTTTTAGCTGAATGATCTTTTTTGTTGTTGTTTCTTTTAAGATAAAAAGGAGCCTGATGCTAAAATTGCCAAAACCGAGGAAGAAACTCCGGATAAGGAGGAAGAGGAGAAGTCCACAAAACCTCCAGCTGGGAGTTCCAAGTCAGGATGGAAGAACTGGAAGAAGACAAAAGAATCCGACTCTGGTGGGGAGGAAAGCAAGATAACCTATTGTCACTGGCTTCTGAAATCAGAGCCAGAGAGCAGGCTCGAGAAGGGAGTGGATGTGAAAGTAAGCACCGACACCCATCCTTACTCAGCAAAGTACAGAAGCAGTTTCACTACTATCCAGAGCATTAGTGCCTGAATGCTGAGTTACAGGATCAGACAATTCAGATTGTTTGCAGTATTAATGCTATTGTGTCTTTACTTCTCAAAAAACATTTGTCTTCCTGAAAACAGAAAGACATAATGTTGTTCTCTTCCAGGGTGACAACCTTGGGGTTTGATACTTGTAATAAAAGAGGAAATCAGGTCCTCAGGATGCTTAGCTGTTGATAGCAGGGGCAGCACCTATTTCAGACTGCCTTTACGCTGCTGCAGTGTTCCTCCCTTTGTGAAGGCTTTTCTTTAGCCCCTGTGGGAACCAAAAAAATTGTGTCAAGTTTGTACTATAATTGAAGGAGCTACTAGGAACAAATGTTTAGGCACAATAACAGACATTGTAGACAATGACACAATAAAGATGAGGCTACCTCCTGAACTTAACCTGTATTTTCATTCCATTTGGCAGTTCAGCATTGATGACTTGAAAGCTCAGCCCAATCAGACGACCTTTTGGGATGGAGTAAGAAATTACCAGGTAAGGGGCACGTGTCAGAGATGGAGTCACTGAAATAGCACTAGAAAAAAGGTGGCTCTCCCACAGGTAATTTGTTGAAGGATTTCCTTTTGATGCACTCTGCCTGTTTTTACAGGTGCATTTTGTCAGGAGTCAAAACTCCTGCTTAATTGCCTCTAGGTCAAAGGTAGATTCAGGCTGGGTAATGTTCTGTCAAATCATTTGGTTTTTCTTTAGCTTGGTCTTTAGCTTAGACCAGCTTTTATTTCCCTTGATACCTTTTAGCAAGTCTGTACTTACCCAAATACTATGCGTTGTCAGTGTACAGCTTTCTGTTCCAGGCCTCTCTGCAAAGGAAATCCACGTGTGCTTCCCCTACTATATATGCTTCCCCCTTATATGTGATCTGCTCTGCTGCTTGTTTGCTGATGGCTAACTTAAGTCTTCTGCTATCTCTGAATGAGGGTGGCTGCGCTGTTGAATTCCCAAATACTTTCTAACCAACAGGATCTTGCTCTTTAGCCTTGTTTTTACTTCATTTCATTGCAACACAAGACATCTGTACAACTGTAGGAAACCTTATCTGAGTAGCTCTGAAGCACATATACCTTTCTTGTTGTTCTTGTTCCTAGCTGCTTATAGTGAAACCCTGAGAGCTTGACACAAAGAGCTCAAAGTCTCTTGTTTATACCTGATAGGCAAGGAATTTCCTGAGAGCCATGAAACTTGGGCAGCAGGCCTTCTTCTACCACAGTAACTGTAAAGAGCCTGGCATTGTTGGCATTGTCAAGGTGAGTGCCTCTTTCTCCTTCTGTGTTTCTGGGTGTGTGTGGGGGGGAAGTAATAATTGATGGATTATCAAACAGCTTGTTAGCCCTACTTCTGCCTCAGCACCAAAGGAGTGCAAAAGATGTCCACTCAGGGCAGCGAATGAGCCTAGGGCATCTAGGCTCAATGGTACATATCACAGCAGGGCTGACTCAGGCATCTTTCCCCAGAGAAATGGAACCAAGCTGCTGCTTTCCTG